CGATGGAAATGGTTCTGAAAGTGTCGTATAGACTGGCCCTTGATAAACCTAGATGGCGTGTAAGCAAGGCAAATTAAGCGGTGAAAGCTAGAGAAATGGAAATTCGAAGCAAGATACGTGCGGAATTAGGTAGGGGAAATGTTGGCTTCGGCAATATCTTAACCTATTATCGTCAGGGGGGTAAACAAAGTCATAGAGCACTCAAATTTGCCCAATAGTTGCTCTGAAACACAATGTATCCACATGCCAAAATTGAGCTCTCAAGGGCGTTCTTTACCCCCCTGACGATAATAGGTTAAGGTACTGCCGAAGCCAACATTATATTTTTGAAGATGCTAATTCCAAATAACAGACTAAAGTGGTATTTTTTATACGATAGATGAGGAGATGAAAGTAATTGATAGTTCCGTTAAGGCCCACGCACATTAGATCCGGATCGGACACGTTGCGGCAAAGTGACAATCCGACAGTGAAAATCTATTGTCTAACTGTCAAATTTACGTCAACGCAACGCAAACGGATCTAATGTATGGGTGGCCCTTTAGAGTACGGCAGTGTGAAAATTGCATATAGAGAGTAGAAAGCGAGCAAGGACAGTTTTAGGAAGGTACAAATCGGTTTGATCATCTCTCTTTACCAAACTCCCCCGTTGGAGAGGGATAGTGATGGGGGTATATTTTACCGCACTTAAGTTTTTATCTGAAGGAAGGCATCCAGTCGTAGGTTTGGAAGAGAGATGATTTGTACCTTCCTAAAGTTGTCCTTGCTCATTTTCTACTCTTTATATGCAATCTTTACACTGCCGTACTCGAACGGAATTATCAATTCTATACTGTTCATCTCCTCATCTATCGTATAAAAATTACCACTTTAGTCTGTTATTTGAAATTAGCATCTTCAACTATGTAAATCGTTGAGTTCACGCAGAAGTAATACTAAACATATAGTCAGAGTATTATATTTTTGTTTATGAGAATGTAGGATTTTACCAACTATTTTTTGTCCATTTTAACAGGATTACGCATCAGTAAGTCTATGCCTGGTGGCGGAAATTCTTATGACGGAAACACCGCCCGGAAGTTTTCCGTGAATGGAAAGCTGCAGCAAAAATTACCGGTCTCAATGAAAATCTGTTGGAGCGATTTCATATTCTGCATACTGTAATTAACTGTAAGTCGAAGATTTATTATTTCTTTTGGAATTTATGTTGAAGAGACTAGAGCCTGAATTTATACGATTAGTATGCATTGTCTCCAACAGTGCACAATTTGCTAGTCCATGGGGCTGGCATTGTTAAATACACGGTGTTTCCAATTGGAATGTGCAGCGAAGAGGTTCAGGAGACGAGGAATAAATGCAACGGAGAAACCCGAGGTGTGCTGAAGCAGGGATGCCAAAAATACAGAATAATCTGTATTTGTACAGATTTTTTAGCAGTTTTTAAACCAAGTATATACAGATATACAGATTTTTTTATTGGGTAAAAGTATATACAGATATTTTGAGGTATGTCTTTAATTCAGCTAAATTTTTGCATTAGTCTTACTTTCATTTTACCGTAACCTTGCCTCGAGAGTGTAGAACTCAATGAACTGGATTACCGGGTTGAAGTAATCAGGCACACACAACTGCATGGCAGCACTGTACATACATGCAATTGGGTTGTTTAGGGGTATTGAGGCAAATACATATTCGTTATCTGCATTACAAATGGAACCTAAATCCAAAATTTTATTAATTTTGGTCCACTGGAACTATTTTAAATAAGTACGATTACATTAGCAAAAATCACCATCTTAGTACCCCTTTGTAGGGAGCGAGCTATCAACGAATAGATTTAGTGTCAACGATCAAAAATTTAAATCTTTATTTAAAATTCGAGATGAATGTCTACGCGATCGATAAAAATATCGTTGTGGTCAGAAAACGAAGCTCTATTGGATGATGTATACAAATCGGTAAATTTTTCGAAGTTAAACAACCCAATTACCTACGTCACAAATTGTATACGTTGTTTTTTGGATTATTAATACAGCACCAACTGATATTATCCTCGGTTTAAATCCCGATAACGAATGTTGGGTTGATTTGGTATCGACGGTGCTATTAACCAATTCAATCTTAAGCAAACATTTGGTAGATTTTACAAACAGGAACGGTATTAAAAGTAAATCCAAGTTGAAGCTTAGCGCTATTAATGTATTCGGCGCAAAATGTACTAACACGATTTGATGCAAAAGCGCACTTTTATGACCGATACCGCACTTCCAACACTTCTTTGTTCATTTTGGAGCGAAATACGCAATATTAAAACCATACAGATATTGATACAGATTTTTCGAAGAAGAAATACAGATAAAAAGATTTTTATAAGCAAAAATACAGATTTCCTTTTGGCAACCCTGTGCTGAAGGTGTGCCGAGAAAATGTGATCCGTGATGCCGTCACTGAACCCGCCAAGAGCAGACAGTCCTGGCCATGGATGTCGTCTACGCATCATTATCACCAACAACCAAGTAACAAAAAGGCCATTTTCAGGGCCACCAAGTTCATTTAAGAAAAGAGTTAGAGTAGAATTTTTGAAGAACTACAAAAATAGTTTTCACCATTAAGTCAAGGCTGTTTTTTCTCATTGATGGCGCTGTTCCATTGATAGTAAGTTAGAAATTTGGAAAAGTGGATGGAACGCTTTGGATGTATATTATGGTCAAAATAAGTCAAAAAAAAAAATCATTAATTATCGTTCAGTTTTTTTCCTAGAAATTTTTGATAAATAGTATTTTCTTGCAGGCCTTCTTGTAAAAAGGTAGGGAATTTTTATGTATTTTTTATGCAGAATATGCAAAATGGGTGGGACTTCAAATGTTAATCCTCCCTCCCCCACCAAATGTTACAGAGTGTCATCAAAATAAATGGAATGTTGAGATATTGAGATCGTTAGAGTGAATTTTCTCTTTCAAATTTGAATGTTTTGGCTCTCTGGGGATTAATAGTAAAGCGGTTAAAAAATGTATGGGAACTAGCTTATTTAACAAAAATTTCCAGGAAAAAACTGAACGACAAAGTCCATAAACGATTTCTTTAGGTTGTCGTCAACTTTTTTTGGAAAGCTATGTGAAATTCATATGGATTTCATGCATTACATATGTGGTATATTTTTTGAGTGTATCCCCTGTTTCCAAGTTTGGTTACAAGATTACAACTCTGGAGAGCATTTTGTGTGGTCGTTGGGAGCGTGTGGTTCTGTATATGGCGATGGGTGTGCAAAATATTCATCATATTCATCATATCGATAGCCATATTTCTGATCGATTGGTGATAAAATTATTGAAATTGGACCAGGGGCAGCTGAGTTATTAACGTTCAAAATATTTCTTAATTTGTAACATGTTCCATTTCCGGTTTTCACAAAGTGTACCCCCATAAAGAAATCAAAGACGTAGTCCTACGTCAAAACAACAACAGCGGCGCCGGTGGTGTAGTGGTAAGCGTGATTACCTCTCACTCCAGCAGGCCTGAGTTCAATCCCAGTCGGCGCTGCCGGGATGTTCTGAGGCATAACATCTATGATCACGTAAAGCCGTTGGTCCTCGGTTCATGAGTTGATGGGTCGATAGGTAGGGTCCAGGTTTGGGAGCTGCCTCCCTGGCGTCTGTAGCATTGGTGCTCAGCACGGAAAACAACACACTTAGAAAAAATCATGTAAACTTAGGTGCTCTGAGAGTGACATATATTTACGAGCGTCAATTTTGACATAAATTTGAGTCATAACAGATGCAAAATATAGCTTAATCAAACGTACGTAAACGTAACGTACGTAGCAACGAATTTTTCAGTCTCGGAACACTTAAAATTACATAACATGTTTGTTTACGTCTCATCTTTTATGTCAAAGATGGATTCCGTCACGTGTAAAATTAATTATTTCTAAGTGTGAAGATCGACGGAAAACAAATCAAGAAAACTTTTTTTTTAAACAACAAAAATTACCTTCACCAAAAGTTGCTAAAATGTACTTCTTGATATGCTTTTTAAAGTGATCTGAAACACTATCGATTGTACTTGCGCCATTTTGAAATGTTACGCTTGAAAGTTTGGGCTAAAAGACTACAAAACTGACGATAACTTTTGACTCAAAACTTGTACTGGTGTATTGTCTTTGGAGAAAATGTATACTTTAATATTAACTACAATTGCTCTCAACATAGTAGGCCGCAAAAGTGATGTTCAAAAGAAAAATATGACAGAAAAACTGATTTTTGGCTTTTGTTTTCTTAAATGGCTTATATCTCCAAATATAGAAGAGAAAAACGAAAACAATGTTCTAAGAAGTTTTCTAGTTTTTTTTAGTTCATAACTTTGTAGAACATTTAATTCTATCTATTGAAATAAATATAGTTAGATATCAAATTACGTAACTGGTTGATTTTGGCGTTTAGGACACTTTTGCAACCAACGCGAATAAAGCTCACAAGAAAATGTTTCGAAGACCCTAAATTTGCTTCCTGGACCACTGTGCAGTGTGATCCTGGGCACACCAAATGGCTACCATTGGACTGGCTTTTGAATTATCATGTCATTTTGTCAATATGTGTCACATGATGGGATTTATTCGTTTCAGGTCGGATTTAGTGTCATGACTCATAAAAACCGGAACATGTGCTGGCTATATCTTCGGAACCAGTTGACCGATTCCAAAAATATTCAAAAGCGTTCTATGGACCAATAATATCATGTACCACCCACATCTTTGAACATGGACGCGCGTTATATCTAAATATTACAGTAATGACCCGATTTTGTCAACCCCTCCGCGCATCAGATTTTTACCTATAAACAATTTCATGTAACCGTAAATCCAAAACTTTCTCATTCATCTTCTAGATGCATGTTTAAGGAATACTCTGGTACAATAAGACAATTGGGTTTCGTAGAACACCAGAAAACATTTTCAAAAAGGAGACTGGCAAAATCGAGTAATTACTGTATTACTATCTTACCTCCAAATTGAGACCCGTTTGAAGTATACAAGCACCACTTGGTGACAAACGGACCAATAGCCGTTGGGCTTAGTTGATCGATTGTGACAACCGTTGTATCATTTGGCGGTAGTGCGGGTAAGAAATATTTCATTTCATCGCTTTCGCCTTTTAAATAAGTACCGTCTGGCCAGCTTGTTTCCCCATTGTTTTGTAATAGCCATAATTGTTTGAACCTGCAAAAAAAAAAATTGAATTATTTATTTTTGTTTAAAGCAAAATATTAAAGACATTTTCTTATAATATAATTGTACATCCCATCCCAGTACTGGTTTATCACGGTCGAAATCAACGGTTATCCGCAAAGAAGGTTTCCCGTTGTTTTGGAACGCAAAATGCGTTTTTAAAATAGTGCTAGATGTTCCATACAAACTAAAATTATCGAGTTCATTAAAAAAAGTGGTGGTTTAAAATCAATGGTATTTTTATTATCTTTCAAACGAACAAGCATATTGACCTGCGGCACCACTTTGTGAGAGAGCAGCTGACTAAAGGCACGATTCAACCACAGACAAACAGACATAACACTCGCAATTTCTTCATCGAACAAGCATTTAACGGTCAATTTAAAAGTATCGTAGTTGGTAGTACCGCCACCTGTGGCGCGCATAGTCAGTTCCCTTGCGTTTGACGTTTACACACTAACGCCATCTATTCAGCGTACTACCCACCACAGTGTACTCAACAGATGGCGGTAATGTTTTAGCGACTATGTTTTACAGTGAGAAATATTCAATGTGTTGTGTCTGTTTGTCTGTGATTCAACTGCAACATGTCGGATCGGACTTCCAGAGGCCTGATGTACTCACCAAAGCAGTTCATGTAAATAAATTCCTAGTTAAAGAGGGTGATGATGAATTTCTAACCAAGAATTTCAAATAAAATATATTCATTCTGTTCTGTACATTTCTGTGAATTCACTCGAAAAATTTATCACAATGGATGAAATCCATGTGAATTAAACATAGCTTTTCTGTGATCACATAGCTGCAAATCCCATCACAAAATCACATGAATATTATGAGGTCGATGAAATTCATATGAAAAATCATGTACAATTAACGTGATCCTATGAATGTTATGTGAAATTCAGATGAATTCCATTAATTTTGATTATGGATGAAAATCGTGATATGATATGAATGAAAGATCTCACACAATATTTACAGAGATACTTATGTCACTATCATCGGATGAGAAAACGATTATAGAGATTTTCCTCAAAATCTTATCGCATTTTTCGTCATGACAAAACGTGACAGTGTTGTTATCATTGTAATTACTAGATCATTTATTGCTTTTAAAGTTACTTGTACCGAGAAAATCGTAGTAATATATTCACTCTACAGATTACATATGGTTACTTGCTTGAATTAATCTAAATCAGTTAGAAATGTAGATATAAAAATCGCAATAGAATTTTTCTCATGAGTGCTTGATCATTGGAAAATGACAAGAAAACTAATGATAGGCCAGCTCCAAGTATAAGCATCAATACCGCTGGTGGAAATATTAAATATTTTAATAATAATTTTAATAATAATATTTTAATTTTGTGATATTTGTGAATGTCATACTTAGTCTGACAGTTGTTTTTTTTGTTTTTAACTATTTTTGGTTTTAAGTGTACATTTGACATTCGTTTAATGAAAAATGGATTTCACACGAGAAGCAAGTTATTCCCTTCACTATTATTCTAAAATTTAGTTTATAATTTGAATATTTGGTTCTTTGATAGAAAGAACTTGAATGTGTGAAATATACGGGATTTACACAGAAAACCCGGAAAAAAATACTTTTCTCAGAGGGGAGAAAAAACTAATTCTGAAGCTGGCCAACACCATTCGTGATGCAGGCTTTAATCAATTCATGCCATCCAGCAAAACGAAAAATTCGAAATCCGAGTCAATAGATTCATTTGAAACGGAAGTGTTAGAAAGAATCCAATCATACTTTAAAGAACGGTATACATTTGTTTGAATTATTTTTCCAACTATTTTTGTCAAATGCTGTGGATCTGTGTTGATTGATTCCAATTGAATGTCAAATTTTTTGCCGGACTCGGAAATCTATCGGCAAGTGTATCTCTGTCGAAAGGAGGATACAGATTGGCAATCATTACCTGTGTTCTCAAGTTCTCAATTATTAATCCCTATTTATTTATGAACACGCAGGTGCACATGTAAAACAAGGAAAAATAATCAAAGTTGAAGAATGGTGCGGGGGTCTTATCTGGGTAGGATGACTGTAGACTTTACCAACACGAAATTTAAAAAAAAACATCGGCACGCCTAAGCCTCCGTGCATCCTCGGTGGAACACAACACTTGATTTTGCTGGCCGTCACCACCGAAATCCACTCCTTGTCCTCCTAAATTCGACATTCCTTGGTACCTTGGTACATGATATCAATATACACGTTCCATGGTCGTTTTCGCTTGATTCGCCATGAGCCTGGTGAGATTTGTTGCCGGAAAAATTACGCAAAAATGATGACAAACAGAAAGCTGCATCAGTAAACATAAACAACAACGGTGAAACGTCATTGAGTGCACGGTGTACGCTATATAAGGTAAGATATTCCGGTAAATGACATTTGCATAGTGACGTCATTCCTATCCTTTGAGAGCCTAGGATAGCCTTTTGCTGAACAAAATGAAGTGATTTGCTGTGTCTGCAATGTATTTACACTGTACAATTTGAGTTATTCCCCTGCAAACTATTGAAAGATAGCAATGACGTCATAAGTCGACATTCAAACTTGATGTTTACAACCGAGAGTATAGTACCTTGTTTATGTATACTGTGATTGAGTGTATTCGTTATAGCTACGCTGTGAAAATTGTTTACTTTGTAGCTTTCCGTTTGACAGTTAATATCATTAATATTTATATTAAAAACTATAATAATTACTAATTTGAGCAATTTTTACACCAAATATTCGTCTCGTGATAGTGTGAGGACCTGTTTTCTCATTGTCACATGACGGCCGTGATATTAACCAGCTCTGGCTGCGGGCAAGAGAAGGGTAAGCATACTTGTCATTCTCCTCTGTTAGAGACAAGAGCTAACATTCTAATCTTCTCGCTCTGTTCGTTCAAGAGCACTACATGCAGTATATTATTCACTACACCCTTACTATGTGTGTAGTTTTTGGAATGAACTGCGCGGTGAGATTAGATCACTCTACACTGGTGGGAGCTAGTGAGCGACATGAGAGCTCACTCTGCAGTGAACTCACAGAAGCTCACTCCAGAGAACACTGGAGTGGGAGAACTGGTTGGCAGGGATGCCAAAAATACAGAATAATCTGTATTTATACAGATTTTTAGCAGTTTTTAAACCAAGAATCCGTATATACAGATATACAGATTTTTTGATTGGGTTAAAGTATATACAGATATTTTGAGGTTTGTCTTTAATTCAGTTAAATTTTTGCGTTAGTCTTACTTTCATTTTACCGTAACCTTGCCTCGAGAGTGTAGAACTCAATGAATTGGATACCGGGGTGAAGTAATCGTGCACACACAATTGCTTGACAGCACTGTACGTACATGTAATTACCTACGTCACAAATTGCATATAGGTATGTACGGTGTTTTTTTGGATTACTAATCTAGAATGATCTTATGGCGGTAAGCACCAACTGATATTATCCTCGGTTTAAATCCCGATAACGAATGTTGGGTTGATTTGGTATCGACGGCAGGGTTGCTTCCACTCACTTGCTATAAAAACATATTTTTCGGAATTATGCAATCATTAGATGATATAATGATATGCTGTACTTGTAAGTAACGAGAAGAGGGCTTAAAGTATGTGTATGACTCATAAAACCTGTCAATTTTGCTTTCACTCAGAGTGAGCACTCACGAGTCGTAAAATTGCTGATTGTGACGCACTGAAAGCAATATTGACAGATTTTATGTGTCAAACACATACTTCACGTCCTTATCTTGTAACTTACAGGTACTAATTATCACTATACCATCTCATGATTTCATAATTCTGAAAAACATTTTTTTATAGCAAGGGAGTGGAAGTAACCCTGATCGACGGTGCTATTAACCAATTCAATCTTTTTTTTTTTTTTTCCTTTGGTTTGTTTTTTCCGTCGATCTTGTTTTCCGTGCTGAGCACCAATGCTACCGACGTGCCAGGAAGGCAGCTCCCACACCTGGACCCTACCTATCGACCCATCAACCTATGAACCGGGGACCAACGGCTTTACTTCCCATCCGAGATGTTATGCCTCAGAACATCCCGGCGGCGCCGACATTAGATCCTTTGACCTAAATTTGACAGTTAGATAATAGATTTAGCTGTCACTTTGCCGCAACGCGTCCGATCCGGATCTAATGTGCGTGGGCCTTTAATGTATTCGGCGCAAAATGTGCTAACACGATTTAATGCAAAAGCGCACTTTTATGACCGATACCGCACTTCCAACACTTCTTTGTTCATTTTGGAGCGAAATACGCAATATTAAAACTATACAGATATTGATACAGATTTTTCCAAGAAGAAATACAGATGAAAAGATTTTTATTAGCAACAATACAGATTTGCTTTTGACAACCCTGCTGGTTGGTTCTCTGGATATAGAGCAAGTGCAATTGTATATGATTTGACGCTCCGTTTGAATTTTCCATTCGATATTGGCGTTGACGACTGTATTTGAGCCGGGAGACTATCTTTACTCCGACGGTGTTTCTTATTTACTATTGTGTGGAGAAAAAAAGTAAAAACTCTTCTCTCCTTCACCTTCTCACGTAAAACCGTATACAAAATCAACACACTCGTCATCACCAATACCGGTAACTTTGATCTATGCGTATCATCCTTGCGCTTTATTCGTGTGGAAGACACTGACTTTTCTTGTAGATTTACAGTCTACTTATGAAATTTCACCATGGGAGTAAGGAGTAACAGTTTCTGCTTGTAAGGGGTAATAATAAATAGGGATCTATGTTCTGGCAAGGAAATGCGGGTGTCATGTGTATATTTTACCATGCCGCAACCATAAGTAGATTTTTGTTTATGAAAACGCTACGTTCAGTTTCGAATGCCTTTGGATACGGTTGTGTTTTAAGTTTGTTCTCTGTTTTGTGCGTGCGTTCGCATTCATAGTTTTCGGTTGCATTTGTTGGATGAGCGCTGGCACTCTGCCTCCCGGA